ACATATACACAATAAAAAACAATGTTTATATTTTAAAATTGTATTACACATTTTTTATAAAAAACCAATAATAATAGAGAAATAACGAGTACAAGTATAGAATAGTACAACGGTTAAATGGCCATTTAAAGGCGTACACACGTCATTCCTGGTAAAAATTGTTCTCATAATTTTTCATACAATTTCTCATCTTATTATTTTTTTAAATGTTATTATGTCATTAAATTCGATTTAACCGTCATGCAATAAGTATTGAAGGCAGCAGCACCGAATAAAATATTAGTCTCGCTATGTAAATAACTTTTACAGAATTTTTTTGATGGTTTATTTAAAAATATATCATGCTTCGATTTTGATAAAACTTAATACAATCTGAACGGGACGATCGACCAAATTAATTCGCACATGTAAAAGTACAGTATTTTATTAACATGATAGAAAAATGTCATTATCTGCTGTTTTATTGCAGTAATTTTCGAAACATTCCTTGGTAGAAAATTAATTTCGAATTATCGTACCAGTCTCTCTTACATTATTTATACGCTAAACGGTTTCGTCTATATTTTGCGGCTTAAAAGGCGAACAAACTATAATATTTTTCTTCCTTAAACTTTAAATAGACAATACAAAGCGCTTTTTATCAAGTGAGGAATTGGCGTAGTGTCTAAGGCGACGGACGATTATCCAAAAGATGTCTTCAGTTCAAGTTCGAATCTCACTAGAGAAAATATTAAAAATTATGAAAAAATAATGTAGAAAAATTTCTTTTGTCATAGTATTTTATGAGTATTTATGAGAAAGCGCTTATTCTATGAGTAATTATGAAAAATTATGAGAAAATTTAATTGAAGAACCTACGAAACGACAGGATCTGCGCGCAATCTGCAGCTAATCTGCCGTCATAGTCTGTCGACAGGCTCTGCGCGCAATCTGCCGCCAGTCTGTCGTCAGAGTCTGTTCGCAGACTCTGTCAACAGTCTGGCGATAGATTGGGGACGCAGATGTCTATGGATCTGTCGACAGATCCTGCTCGGATTCGACAGATCCTGTCGACAGTCTGACGTCAGTCTGCGCGCAGATTGCTTACTGGGTATATACATACACAGGGTGTCTCACACTCTTCTCCGGGCATTTTGTGGGGACGTAGAATGGGTTGATGTGAATATAAAAGTCCTATACCGTTTTGCGATATTAGCAATAATTATCGAGATATTAATTGTAGAAAATTTGTGAATGATCATGTAGGATATGATAAATGAGTTATAATAGCGACGATTCCCGTCGTGTACTTATACTTTAGGTCAAATTGAACAAAAAAGTCCTCTACCATTTTGCAAATAATTACATAGATTTTTAATTATTAATTAAAGAAGATGAGTGCATTCACGCAAAATCGTGCAATAATCTTCTTTAATTAATAATTAAAAATCTGTGTGATTATTTGAAAAATGGTAAAGGACTTTTTGTTCAATTTGACCTAAAGTATAAGTACACGAGGGCAGTCGTCGCTACTATAACTCCATATTCTATTTACCATATTCTGCATGATCATTTACAAGTTTTCTACAATTAATATCTCGATAATTATTGCGAATATCGCAAAACGGTATAGGACTTTTATATTCACATCAACCCATTCTACGTCCCCACAAAATGTCCGGAGGAGAATGTGAGACATCCTATATATAAATATATATTTGTGAATGATCATGTAGGATATGATAAATGAGTTATAATAGCGACGATTCCCGTCGTGTACTTATACTTTAGGTCAAATTGAACAAAAAAGTCCTCTACCATTTTGCAAATAATTACATAGATTTTTAATTATTAATTAAAGAAGATGAGTGCATTCACGCAAAATCGTGCAATAATCTTCTTTAATTAATAATTAAAAATCTGTGTGATTATTTGAAAAATGGTAAAGGACTTTTTGTTCAATTTGACCTAAAGTATAAGTACACGAGGGCAGTCGTCGCTACTATAACTCCATATTCTATTTACCATATTCTGCATGATCATTTACAAGTTTTCTACAATTAATATCTCGATAATTATTGCGAATATCGCAAAACGGTATAGGACTTTTATATTCACATCAACCCATTCTACGTCCCCACAAAATGTCCGGAGGAGAATGTGAGACATCCTATATATAAATATATATTTGTGAATGATCATGTAGGATATGATAAATGAGTTATAATAGCGACGATTCCCGTCGTGTACTTATACTTTAGGTCAAATTGAACAAAAAAGTCCTCTACCATTTTGCAAATAATATATATATATATATATATATATATATATATATATATATATATATATACTGGGGTCGGAACTATATACTGGTGATCGGAAATTCCCGCATTCGGAGTACAGGACATGATACTTTATGCTAAAATAAACAACTTTTTCGTTTAGCAAAATGCATCCGACAAGTAGTTTTTGCAGGACAGCGTGTTAAAGTTAACAAATAAGCGGTCTCTCTAAGCAACGCTCAGGGTCGGCGCGCGCGCCTCACTCGCGTACCTAGTCCGTGACTAGTATTCATAAGTAATGTTTTTTAAGACGCTCATACGGCTCTGTTTTGATTAGTTTACAACGTCTTAAGATTGTACTTAAGACAAACAAATTCTTAAATAATAAGAATCAACTATAAACAATATCAGAATTTAACCTTCTTTCGTAGTATTGCTTAAATAATGAAAAGTTAACAAAATAAGTACTTCTTTTATTTCTCTTACGTAATAAATGAATAAAACATTGCGTGATTGCACATCATCTGAAAATAAAGACAAATGTAAATAGTAATATGCTAGTAATATGTAAATAGTAATATGCGAGCTATGAGCGTTCTATTGTTCTAAATGTTGCACAATTACGTGATAATTAAAAATAGACCGTGCAACCTTCTCGTGGTGTACCTTGGATTATGCTAATGCCGGCGGCATAATTTACATTTTTGTAGAAAATTGCTCAAACTGCAATAAAACAGAGAAATAAATTTCAAATCTATTTTTAATTATCACGTAATTGTGATATCGATAATTGTGAATCGTCCCTAAGAAATTTTCATGTTCTCTCATTATGACCTGTATTTAAAATTGCTATCAAGTATTAATTGCTCTATTCTACTAACATTCAATAGAATTAATCATTTTTTGTAGTTATCGTTAGGTTACAAATTATATAGTTAGAAATTACTGTTGGCAGTTCTGTTAATAATTGTTGATTAACTAGAATTCGGAGAAAGTCTCTTTTATATTACTATTTACTTGTTATATGACACATAAAATTTTATAAATTTCTATTGAAAAATATTCACTATCGTCTGTGAAAACAAATGTATAACCACAGTCTTTCTTTAGAAATCCTGGAAGTGGTCAACATTGAAGAAAATATTTAGCGATTATCTTCATATGGTCACCTGCACATCCGACATCAATGTTTGCTTTATAGCATGACTTCTTTACTTTATAGTACATGCGTTGTATAACTCTACTTTTTTGCTCATGACCGGTAAATAAAATATTTTGTAATGAGTAATTTATTAATCTATAAATTTTTTTAAAACAACAATAATAGTCGAGAAATTCCAAATTTTTATCTATATTTGTGTGTACATTATATTACATTATATATATTATAGTACATTATATTATAAATTATAAATATGCCTATTAAATTTACTATTTCCTACCATTTCGCTCTTAATGCCCATTGTTGTATATATGTTTTTTATTTAAAAAGCTTCATAATCATTTAACTAAGGAATTATTAATTTTTCCAAGAGATACTCTCGGTCGAGAATGTGCCTTTGAAGATAAACTATCGCAATATTATTGCGCACATTTAAAATATGAAATTGTTTCGGTCGCTAATAACAATTATAACTTTTGGGTTTATATTTAACTGTACTACTGAAGTTAACCAGGAGCAAAAACAGGAAATAGTTGTCGTATTTGATTCGATAAATTTCACAATGACGACTAAAAAGCCCGATTCGCAGTCCCGTTTCCCCTTGGTGTTCGATTTAGAATAACAGATTGCTCTGTCCCGGTCAATAGGATCGAGATGTCGGGTGTCACAACTGCTCGGCAAACGTCGAAAGGCAACAACAGTGCCGACGCAAACAACCGCATCAGAAACTTTACAATACGCATCTGCGTATTGTGAGACTTTGAAAAAGTAACTCGGTGCATTTATTGCTACAATTCAAAGCGATCGGTATCGCCGAGGTCCAAATTCCTTTTTCCGCTTTCTTTACGGGCCATAGAAAGAAATACCATAGAGAGCAACGTAGAAATAAATAATAAAGAAGCGCGTAAAGTTCAGGAGACGATGGGGGTCGAAGCATGAATTCCAAATGGTTTTCTGTACAAACGAGAGAGACCCTGAGAGCAAGCATTCATATAAATCCTACGTATCGTTATATACTGTGTTATATACTATGTCACCATACTGCAGCTAGACCGTAGCCCCTTTACCGATAGATAGGTACTCACCAGGAAGATAAACGTCGCCGAGTCTTTCATAAATCATTCACCTACCATATGTGAGATATATATGTGTACGTGTTGGCAAATACTGCCAAGCCACTTCCACCCGCGCTCATCCCAACGGTGCCAAGTGTATAAAATAGGACTCAAACAGACGATTCAAACGGAACCGTTTGAATTTTTCGATCGTTTGTGAATTCTCGACACGAAGCGCTCGCGAGGCAACGGTATTATGTGTTGTTGTACGTTTAACGTCTGGCAACTGAACAATATCGAGCCGTATGACATATGTCCACTAAAGAGCATAAAGCACTTTAGCAGTAAGATTCTTTTTTACAACCGGAAAGATTTTTGAACGAACACCAACACAAGCAACGCTTTCTTGGTTCACAAGGTTCAACTGCGCGAGCTATGATCTGTCTACTGAGTATTAAATAACACACAACATATTCCCTCTCGAGATCGATCATATCTGCAGCAAAAGAAATGAAATGATATTTCCGGTGATCTCGTAAAAACAAACATTTAGTTGTGTACAGATATGCGTAAGAACATACGTAAATTTATGAAAAAAAATTTTTAACTGTTTAAGAGGGTCACTTGTGACTTGCGACAAATATTTTATTATCTTAAAGATTTGCTCAGATTTTTTATCGAGACAACCGTGCAGTGCATATATAATCATATGAATATTAGAAAACGGTAGTTTTTGAGAAGTAATTTAATTTTCAAATTAGCTTCAAAATACTGATTATTTATGCATAACTTATGAATTTTACAAGACATCATATCTCATAAAGTTTCTGAATGATCCGATATATCGTAAGCAATATTCATCCATTAAGGCTCCTAGGGAGTCGCATCATCCATCTCTTTTTAATGACGTCAGAAGCGAGAAAACGCATGCTAAAAATTCCTGCAAAATACGTCGAGATAAACAGATATATCCACAAAACGACATTTGCGATCGATTAAGTACACCTCTAAAATACTCCGTACACTTTCCTTTTGTTCTAACAATCAACAGATAATTATAAAATAAATGTGACGTGCAATCGTCTTTTCTAACCTAATTTCCTCATTATCTTGTCATATTAATTTTCCGATTATCTATTGATTTTTAGAACAAAAGGAAAGTGTACGGAGTATTTTAGAGGTGTACTTAATCGATCGCAAATGTCGTTTTATGGATATATCTGTTTATCTCGACGTATTTTGCAGGAATTTTTAGCATGCGTTTTCTCGCTTCTGACGTCATTAAAAAGAGATGGATGATGCAACTCCCCAGGAGCCTTAAGAGTTGATTTATAATTTTTAGAGACATGGCAATATAAAGAGAAATAATATATATTTCTAGTAGTTCCTTTTTTAGATGCTATTTTCTCTTCGAAATTCTTCTTAACTAGTCTCACATTGTTACACGTGACATTTTCCTTAGTTGAATCGAAAGTTAATCTTTTTTAGAAATATTTTCAAATTTTAACAATATAGTAATTGAAATACAATCGATACTGTGTAATTAAAAAAAGATTAACCATACCGAAGTTGAAATAATTGAAGTCGAAGTGGCTGTTTGCGTCGGCACCGTTGTTGAAAGAAATACCTCTCGACGTTCACTGAACAATCGTGACACTGGATATTTCGCACAATCCTATTGACCGGAACAAAGTAATCTGTTATTCTAAATCGAATACTGGAAGAACAAGATCGCGAATGTTCACAGTCAAGTCAGGTTTTAATTATCTTTTAGTCATATCTTAGTTAGCTTTAAGTCATTATCGTGAAATTTACTGAATCAATTATGTCAGCGTCAACAATTTTGTTTCTGTTTTTATCCTTGGCTAGCTTCTACTGAAGCTACTGCATAGTTAAATATAAATCCAAAAAAATCATAATCGTTATTAGCGATCAAAATAAGTTCATATTCTAAATGTGCGTAGTAATATACGTAATTTATATTACGTAATTTATCTTGAAAACCACATTCTCGACTTTGCACTATTTACATGTATCTCTGATATACCTAATATACAAACAGTCCCAAAAGTATTAATAAAGTTCAAGCACGAAAAACGATTATATCTTAATGAATTTTTAAACATTATGTATAAGTTTGATTAATATTTTTTTATTAGCGTTAAAGCTGTATTTATAAATCATACTTATAAATCATACTTATAAATATTTAGCGCAGGCTTATAGAGTGTTTTTGTAGTGTATTATTTAATATAATTCGTTAGCAATATTGTCGCGAAACAACTTAACATTCGGTTTAATGTTATCACGTGTAAGCATTACCCCATACTCAGGGGTAATGTGGCAAGAGGTTATGACTGCGTTATCGGATCTGTACAAGAATGTAAAATGACTCGTAGCTGCCCTTCTGATAAGCTTTGTAAACCGAGAAGCATTTGTTACGCATCGTTGTAATTTTCCATCATGACGAATCGACCTGCTACTTCTCGGAAATATTCCGATTGTTCCAACTTCTTGATAGGTTGACTGATAAATCTCTGTCTTTACTTTTTCTTCAACTTAAAGACAAACATATGATTTAACTATCAGTTTACTCACCGAGAAGTTGGAATAATTGATCCACAACGTCACGATTCGTTGCTGCTATTTTTCTCGTTCGCGCGTCTCACTGGTAACACACACGTGAACTCGTTAGCACATACGCAGCGTTACATTTAACAACATTGCAATGGTCCAGCCGTGCGGCGTAGAAATACAAAATGTGCGGCGGATCGAATGTCCCGAAGGTGGCGAAGAAGGAGAGAGATATGTTCTTTTTTGTACTGGAAATGGTACGATGATCTTGAACGGCTGAGTCATTCTGCTAAGTTATGACGCGTGCTCTTTGACTCCAGTAAATTTATTCTCAGTAACATTGTGGTTTTTGACTGGAATCTCTTGGAAATATTGTACGACATTTTCTGAAGATAGCGGGTGCTGCCGAGATCTCGAGACATGTCGATCACGAAATCGATACTTCGAATCATCTGCGCGCACTCGCATTTAGATGTGGTTCCAATGTAGCCATTATTACATAAGGACGTGTTCAGATCTGTTTGGACGTTCTGGTTTTTTGGGATATACTTTAGATTATTTCCAAAGATTTCTGAGCTTTATCACCTAACCCAACGCTACCGTAGAGTAGTTGGGGCATTATCTTAGTAGAAGCTTGGAGCTATATATTAGAAAAAGAAAAGGAAATATTTAGACTTTGTTCTGATATTCGCTGCTAGTATTAACAATATTGAAAAGTTATTCTGTTATTAGCATGCAATGTGTGGCACTAGCGTGTCTAGTTCCATCAGTGACATTATAAATGGTAGCCACTTGAACGAACCATTTTAATGGACTATTATATATCACCACTATATGATATGTGTTATTGCAGCTTGCGCGTGGTGAAGCAATTGCAGTACAAATATAATATTGGACAGTTTAGCGGAAAAATACAACAGCTAGATGCCAAAATAAATAAAATATATATTATATATAAGAAATAATATATATACTGTATACGATATCTTGCAATTAAAGGTTAACTGTTCTTAAAAGAAATAACATTTTCTTTTTCAAAATCTTCATGTTTGCATCGATATAGATAGAAGATAAAAAATATCTTATTGACATTCGTATCACCGAAAAAATTCTAAATTTTACATTAGAATATTTGTTTATAATATTTAAAGAATTTATTATACGCGATCAAACTATTTGTATAATAGAAATTAATTATAATAGTTTTTTTCTTCTTGAGAACTGCCATTGCTATTTTCATATAACGCTTCAATGGTAGTCAAGCATATTAAAAGCTTTAATCTTTTTTGCAATTATCATATGTACTTGTGTCTCACTTTACACATATAGTTATAACGATTTCATTTTTGTAGTATATTGCAATGTATTATAATAGCATCCCGAAACACATCATAGCTTTGTTGGCAATAGTGAAGTAATTCCAAAATGGCTGTGGTGTCATTTCGATACATTTCAAGTAAAAATGGAACACACCTTTATGTTATCACAAGTGTAGAACTTACGTAACTAGTCAATCATTTTTCTGAAACTGCGTATAATTTGGAACATGTATATTTGAACCACTTAAATCACGTAAAAAATAAAATATGATACATAAAATCAATAATTAAAGAATAAAATAAATAGAACAGATAAAAATTAATAAATAAAGCTGTAGAGATCACAATTACAATATAAGAGACGAGCTAGATGAAACTACGTTAAGTATTTTATTTCTATCTTTCTATTAAAATTTACTTAAATAACAGAAGACAAAATATAATAACAAAACAAACAAAATAATAAATAAGTAGAATAGCCTTTGTTGTTGATGAAACGCGAAATTCGTTTGAAAAATCTTTGGTCTCGATTAAATATCAATATTAAGTATCAATATCAATCGGTACAACGAATCAGTAAACATTACTTCATAACTAATTCATGTTACTTGCGTTCAGAAAAATCAAGTGATTAACATATTTACACACTTCAAGCCACTAATGATATACGAACTCGACTAATCTCTCGTATATCTTTCTCGCGTTATTTCTCTTCGCTAGATTAAAAAGTACACTTATTAAATAGATTTTCATATTATTAAATATCTGTTAAGCATAGCTTTACTTTGTTAAAATAGCTATTGATCTTAGATTGCACGTTATTGCATCTGTTTCTTCTTTGTATTCACTTTTTTTTGTATTTTACGCGATTTTATTTTCGCGTTTTTAAGTAATGTGTTTAGTAACCTTTCTTCGAAGAGAATTTTCCAAGACTTGCAGGTAAGACTTAATATCACAAGAGCTCGGCGAAATAGGCGACGAAGCGTTAAATGAAGTCACAGATCTCCTCTACTCGAGACTTTCTTCAATCAGTTTGTGTACCTATCTAACAGAAGGCGGTGGCCGAAGGTTCTCCAGTGGAAATTTCCATTGCAGTTGGCATTCCGCGCGAATGGCGCGACTGTACAGTCCACCATAAAAGTAGACGTTTTCTTATTTCTCTTTTATTTACATACATGCATACACATTTATGCACATACGTTTACGAATACACTCAGCAGACATGTACACCACCCGAACTGGCTTTCGCTCGGCTCTGTCAGTGACAAAGTTTGCAATGCAAGAGGAACACACATATTTTTCTGGTAATTTTCTATTTATCATGTTGGTGAACTACTTTAGTAGTTCATATAATTATTTTTGTCTTATCTTTATTTGAAAAAAACGATAAAACAGTAATGTTTTGCGTCGCTTTGTATTACAACTGATATGCTATTTTTGTTTTTATTACAACATACTTAAAATAATTTTCACACGTAACAATGTATGATAATCCTAAGTTTACTGTTGCATATCGTTATCTCAGATAATAAAATACAAAATATTCTGTATGAATAATTAAAGACTTGAAAGAATGATGAAGGCACATCAATAAAACGTGTTTGATTACGCAATGATATATTCGTTGTGTACAGATAGAACTCACAAAACTGAACACAAAATTCCTCTATCATCCCGCAAACAACTACTAAAATTTTGAGTTATTTATTAAAAACGATTAGTGCATTATTGCGTACAAACATATGTCAACTAATCTTTTCTAATTAATAACTAAAAACCTACGTGATTATTTGCAAAATAGTAAACGACTTTTTGTTTAGTTCGACCTAATTTGCAAGCACACGACGACAAATGTCTCTATGACAACACATCTGCTGCATCACGCATAATTCGCCAATCTTCTTTGATTAATGGATCAAAATTTTATTGTTGTTTGTGAAATGGTAAACGAATTTTGTATTCAGCTTGATAAGTTTTACTTACAATGGGTGTGTCATTAATTGTCAGACACCCTATATAAGGAAGTTTCCGTGCAATCCGAACGTTTCCTCATACTCATACCAAGAAATATCGTTGTACTATAAATTATACTGCGAATCAATTGCAGAGCATGTATGTTTTTATGTATGCTATTTATAGACATTGTTATAAGACAACATGTTCTTCGCAATGATACTAAGTATTACATCGCATGTTAACAATACGTTGCTGTTTGTTATAAACTATATATATGCTGATGAATATAAAAACTGATACTATATATGTGCTGATGAATATAAATTTTATATTATTTTGTAATTTTAGATCTTATTTTTTATTTTATAATAATATTTTGCCTAAAAAATTACCGAAGATAAAACAGTTTTTAAATATTTCGTCACATCATTTGAAAATATAGGGAATGTACTATTTAATGTACTATTTAAAAAAAGCATTCCTTTTAATACAAATAATACTTGCTAAAAATTGTTTTTAAAAGGAATGCTTTTTTTTATTAAATAGTATATTCCCTATATTTTCAAATGATGCGACGAAATATTTAAAAACTGTTTTATCTTCGGTAATTTTTTAGGCAAAATATTATTATAAAATAAAAAATAAGATCTAAAATTACAAAATAATATAAAATTGTTTTTCTTGATTATAAAAAATAAGTAAAATTTAGTTCTTCGTAACTTTCAGTAATGAAATTGTTAAAAAAATATTTTACAGTTTAAGAAATCTTCAGTTAACAAAAACATATCTTCATATATAAAATTTATTTCTTTTTTTACAATACTACACGAATTTAGATAAAAACCCATCAAATGTTAAAACCTTTCATGAAATGTGCCGATAACAGCTACATAAAAGAAGAAATATATACTCTGAGGAAAAAAGCGGTTTGAACGACAAAATCGGCGGCTATCAAAGAAATATTGGATCTATTCAATAAAGTACATATTAATGCAATAAGTTGCGTAGCACGTTTTGCAAATTGTTGCATTAACATGTATTTTGTTGAATAGATCCAATATTTTTTTGGCCGGGGACCGCCGATTTTGTCGATCCAATCGCTTTTTTTCTCAGTGTATAAATAGCACCATTTAAAATTGGTTCTTTTCTCCGAAATTTGTCCTTTAATTTACATATGTGTAGATTGCCGAGTAATTTTCCTTTACCGAGTTATTTATCGATGAAAAAGAGAACGTTCTTGTGTCTTTGAACATTCACAAATTTTATATGAATAAATCTTAAATGAATCTTTTTGGCATACCGACTTCGTTTGTTCCTGTTCCTTTATAAATAAACTGATAGTTTAGATTTTGTTCTTCACTTTGCCATTTTCGTGTTATAACAATAAGTTTTTTCTGCCCTTAGACTATTGAGTTTGTGGAGCTCTCTTTTTGTTCATATCTGCGATAAGAATGTTATTTAATTTTGCGAATTTTCTTTCCTTGCATTGATTTTTCTAAGTTGGATTGCGTTTATTACGTTTGTTACGTAGCCTGCAAACACGGATATGACTGATTTAAGTTGCTTCCGCGACCAACTATCAATGTTGAGAATATGACAACTTATCTTGCGACTTTTCATTACATGGACATCATTGGATATTGACTACCGACTGAAAAGGACCACATCCAATGGTCGAAACATTTAAATTAAATTAATTTAATATATTTCTGATTTTTTTACATGGCTAAATTATAAGCGCATAACACCTGCAATTTTTGGCTCTTATTGTCCTTAATAATATTATTATTTTATTTTATATGAATAAATAATTATTGTTACATGTATAAAAAGCTTAATATTCTTTCTTTCATTTTTTATATAAATATATAAATTGCAGTAAAAAGATATATTGTTCAATATGTTTATACAGGGTGTCCCACAACTGGTAGAACACCCGTTAGGAATAGGTAGGGTGATATTTGGAACTGAAAGTTCCTCTTCCATTTTTGGATCCGACAATTAGTTAATGAGATATTATTTAATTAATTCTACCAATCCCTTAGCGCCCCGAGTGAGCGCTCAGGGCCGTAGGACACCGTAGGCTCCTCAAGGGCCCTGCTTGTCCGATTTTCTCCCCTTTTTTGTATTACAGGAAAATAAATATGGATGAATGAGTGAATAAGTGGGTATGTGGGTGGATGCCTGATCGGGGCCGGGGTGGCAAGTTTTCGGTGTGTGGGGATGATGTGTGGGCGTTTTTGTGTGCGGTTATAAGTACATAGATAATTAGTATGTTTTTAGTGCGAGTAGGTGGAGTGATTGGCTTATATGCCGGAGGGGGAGGGCATGTGTGGTATGCTTTCTTCGAGTGACTTGA